ATTTTACGATTTATTTATTTGTCTGAGACTTAAAAAAAATTTGGTGAGGGGGGGGGGAGCACAGTGGATTCACCGTTACAACCTTAATTTAACACTGAATTAGGTACAAGATTTAAGCTGATGGATATGTTTCTTTTTACGGTTCAGTCGTATTTATAATGTTACTCACTCTACTGAGATCAAGAATCTAAAAAGAAGGTATGTACGTCTGAAAACTCAAAATAAAGTATCTGAGTTATATTACATAGAAATCAGCAGAAACTACAAAAAATAAGGCAAAATATTTCCGAGGTGCATGAGAGATTTAATTAAATTAACGTGCTTATTTTAGAGCACTATGCACTACAATATATTTTCCTGATCATCGCTCATAGATGTAATTTGCTCTGTGTATTTCAGTATATGTTTTCATTAATAAAAAACCAGAAGCCCGCAAAGTGATTGTAGACTCCTTTTAGCATCGTTCATTTTCATATAAAAAACCGTCGCCTTGTTCATTGTTGCATTACGAATATGCGAAAGATAGTGAAACCCAATTCAAATTGATTTTCAACGGGGAATAATTTGGTTGAGATTTTTACACGATAAAGTAGCTTCAATCAGGGACGGAAGGTGACAGATTAATGTCTGATTTTTCCGTCGCTAATCTGGATCTCACAGCGATGGTGGAAAATAGTTTCAATGAAATGAGTGCCTCTTGTAGATGATTTTGCCCAACAAATTCTGAGGCAAATAGACCAATATTCATACTACGTATCGACTTAAACCTAACTCAAGTTCTCTCAAAAAGCGCCATACTCTTTCATTATTCATTGAAATAAACATTTTAAGCATAAAAATAAATCCCATCAGCTTAAAAGGAACATCACTTCAATCTATTATTTTATACATAGCCACATTACTGCGATAAACTAATGCAGAAAATTATCTCATCTTAGGATACATAATTTTATTAACCAGGTAATTACAAATATTTACAGATTCAACAAGAATTAGTGACGGGAATGAACAAAATGAAAAAAAAAGATAAACGATAAACTTACTTCTATATTTACAGAAATGCTCGTAGTTTAAGATCAACGACTATTACAGTCGTTCGTTGATGAGGTACGAATATTGACTCCAAATTGTTGGTGAAAGTTCAAAAAAGCGTGCTTCGTAATGCGACGTTGCAGGTGTCTTAACATAAATTATTCATTTAAAAGAAACTTGAATTAATATTTTTCCTCAAAGTCTCTTCTGACTTTTCTCCTCTTTGCGAAAATGTCTTTTTGAAAAAACGTCAGATAGTAATGATGCTTGATTTTTTTTGACCCAGAAAAAAAAACGCGTAAATTTTGAAACACCACATTAAGGAAAGCATTTTCGGACTCTCGTCAGCAAAATTGATGTTTTCAAATCACCGCTTTACATAAGATGCAATATGAGAGAAGATGATGAAAAAGAATTTGGTTTCTCCTTCCAATAATGACGTAATTTCATTAATGACGGTTTATCACCGTGCGAAGCACGGGTTGGTTGCTAGTTTACTATGCAGGGCCAGATTAAGGGGGTGGCCACATGGGCCGCGGCCCATGGCGGCAAATTTTGCAATTTTTTTAAATGTAGGTATAAAAAAAAATCGGATTCAGAAAAAAAAAATTATCAAAAAGAAAAGGAGATAAAATCTCTTTTTCCTGAGAGTATAGTAATTTCTAATTTTGTCGTTTTTCGGTGATAAAAGAGACAGTATATTTAATTAGTCGAGTTAAGAGATCACTAAACACGCAATTTGGCCCGGTGCTCAGCGCAGAGAAGAATGATGACGAGGACTTGAGATGAAAAGGACAAGCCCTCGGCGCGGCGCGGTTGGCATGTAATACATATTACCGCCTACAAGACTGCATGAATACTTCACGCATCGCATCAAACACAGTGTGGTCAGGAGCGGTTGGCGTGAAACGCATAGCGCCTACAAGACTGCAGGAATACTTCACGCATTGCGCCAAACACAGTGCGATCAACGCGGCGCAGCGGCGGAAGTTAAAATTATTAAACCACATTTATGTTTGTTCTTTCATAATTTGTTGGTTCATTTCTTATAAATGGAGGACCTTGTCCACACAGAGATAGGTTTACGGAACTTAAGTTTCGCGTCAAGTTCCGTGAAATTTTGCATCTTTTGAAATGTATCCAACACGTGCAGGTAAACGCGTCTTATGCACCCCTCCCCCTCCGACACGTTCACTTGATGGTTTTTATTGATGTTTCAAAACGAATGAGAAGGGGGTGGCAAAATACAGGCGGCCCATAGGCGGCAAGTATAGGTAAATCTGGCCCTGTTACTATGATACGACGATTTAGACTTCTAGCAGCCCATTTGGTCGTGACAGTGTTCCTCAAAATAGGATGGTAGTAATAGCTCAATACTTTTAGATACTAAGGTCTCTTTACCCGTGGGAGTTCACACGTAAATATGTGTAAAGTAGCTGGGCAGAAACGACTGTAGACATAGTCATGTTATAGGTTTTTAATAGCAATATCGACGGTGAAACTACCAAACCACGTATCTCGGTTTGCGACGTCGCAGACTTCCTGTCATACTTTATTTTTTAAATGAAAAACTACTCAACGTCCAGTCTTTGTGACTGGACGTTGAGTAGAAAATTCTGTGAAAATTTCAAGGAATGATATTGATTTGGTCTACTTCAAAAAAATAAAATGCGAGCGTAGATTTTTAAACATCGCAAACGAGATACGTGGTTTGGTAGTTTCACTTTCGATATGTATTTTGTGGTGCAGTCATCCGAAGGTACATTGCAGTTATAGTACGGCGTATGTCATTGCCTGACAAGCATCAATATCTTTCGCTTTTCAAGACGTGCATTCCACACGAATTGTATAATATATATGTGTGTATTAAAAAAGTTAGAACTCAAGTATGGAGTCAAAATCAATTAATTACTTACAATTGCCCGCTTTGTGCGGCACAGGGAACACAATATCTGAAGAGATTGAACTGTACCAATATCTACGATACTGAAACGTTGTAAATAGTTTGACTCTAAAATGTGCATGAAAGCAATATCACAAGGTAACATTTAGAGATCCTAATCTGTAGGATGCTTACCGTGCAAAAAGAACATGTTTGTACAATAATTAATAATTATTTTATGCTTAAACAAGTTAGATCACACTTTAGTTCATATAAATACTGTTGAATATAATTAATATCACTTAAACATTTACGCACCTTTTAAATCAGCGCAAATGCATAGGAGAAATGAACAAAGTAAACAGTAAAAGAAAAAAAGACACTTAAAAATATGAGAACTTTCACATGAATATTAAATGAAACCGCAGCAAGTGTCCGATATAGGTACTCAATGGAAAAAGGAGGGAACTTGGCTACAAGTGAAAGAAGTAGTTGCCGGTGTCATCTCAGGTAAGCAAAAGAGTCATCCAATAAGACATAGGCTGCAATTAACCTAATTAAATTAAAAAATAAACAATATTTTTTTACAACTGCAAAAAATTTGCCGTAATAAAATGATACATTTCAGTAATCAAGTTACAACTTTCCACCTTCTTATGTGTAGGTACACTGTACAAACAAAGGGGAAAATTCTTAATTAAAAAAAGTTTTATGCAGATATTGAAATCTATCATGTATAATAACTGTATTAGTATTCACACTTCACTCATAATGTGAAGATAATCTGAAAGAGAAAAAATTAAAGAGTCTGATTTCTTCTTTTTCATCCTCCAAAAAGTCTCAAGCCTGCGGGAGACCCTCGTCTCAATTTTATCGAATGTATTTTGTTTCTGACGTCGCACACGTCAGGATTAGACGGAATGAATGAATTATCGGCTGAATCTCGCTTATTAGATGAAGATTTTCATGATATAATACACGGGTTCCCAGTGGTGTTTAGGTTTGCTTCAAGTGTTAGTTTGACCTCCTGCTGAATCTCCATTCTATCTTCGAAGAGAAAAGATTTTCAGGCTGAAAATAATTTATCTCTTGCACGAGTATTATGAGACAATGTGAACCATCTGCAAGTTTCCAAGAGGAAAAGAGTCCTGGGTGATTTTTCAGCAATTTATCTGCCTTTTCGATGCTCGAGAGTCGCCTAAAGTTTGAGTAAACTGTCCCCCAAAAAAGGGGGGATCGTATTCTCTGCCGAGTTTTCACAAAAAATTCTCATCACAATTTTTTTTAATCTTAGGTGTTTAAAATACTTTCTGAGTGATTTATACTAGGCCGAACCGACAGTAAGTTACGTAAAGTAAACAAAAGGATGATAATTCAAAGAGAGGTTCTTTTGTATGCCTTTTTACTGCAAGAACCTGAAAATTTTATCGGCATGCGGCTATAGAAGAAACCTGTAATGAGACCTCTGGGAAAGTTTTGGCTCGAGTTTAAAGCTATTTTTGGTGCTACAACATAGTAAATTTTCACTGTTTGTGAGTCCAAGAGTTGCCTACGTGTGTGCTAAAGTTGCAAGTTTGGACCAGGAATGTCACCATTACCAGCTTTGAGCTCAAGCTAAGAATCACAAAAGAGTCTTTCATCATTACTGGGTTTCAATCCACCCACATTTCGTCACCTTCCTGACATAAAGGCGTGACAACACTTGACGACGAACCCTATTGTCCAAATAACTCAATGCTTTCTCGGGCTCACCTCAGATTGGACGTATTTCTGTCAAACGGAACTAAGCGCCAAATTGAGTTCCTTTTGAGGATTTCAGAATGCCGGATAGCGCGTTCTGTCAAACGGAACTAAGCGCCATGTAAAAGCATTGCGAGTATAGGACGAGCTAACATCGCGTTATGCAACACCCGCCAATCCAAGCTCCCCTCTCCCTTCCTCCCCCTATGGCGCTTAGTTCCGTTTGATAGAAATACTTCCAATTGGACGTATTTCTATCAAACGGAACTATGTGCATTATGGCGTGAGCCCTGTTATGCACATATGCTTATGGGTCTCAGGGCTCATGTCTTAATGCACATAGTTCCGTTTGGTAGAAATACGTCCAATTGTAGTTACGCCCTTTTATGAGCCAAGCGACGATTTAACGAATATATCTATAGTGTTTCCGGAAAAAAGGGGCAACTTTTTAGGAGGCTCTTTGTGAAGATGTATCTCTCAGGGAGGGGTGGGGGCAACGCTCTCTTGCCAGCCCCCAACGAAATGTGTATCCTGAGCTTAATTGCGAGAAGTGCGTGAAGAGCTTTAGTCGTCCCACGTCGGGAATTCCGTGGGTGGGACGAAGAGGCTCTCGGATCGTTGGCTGAGCGGTGGCGCCCTGGAGGTGGGCGGCCTGGCGGGCGGCTCGGGTTTCACCTCCTGCTTGTGGGGCGCCGAAACCGGTTGCCGGGCGGGGCTCGTCGCCTTGCTCAGAGGCGGCTTCATTTCGATATTCTGCTGACCGCCTTCCGCCCCTCTGAGCCCGTCCTCATCGTCCGGTTCGTGCTCCAAGGAGCTGTGCTTTATGCCGTAGTAGAAGTACACGCCAAAGCCTGTAACATCAAATCATTATTCATCAGAGTAGAATTCAGGTATAACCCATGTACAACCCAAACAGCTTTTTCTAACGGAAAAATCATCGGAAAGTTCAGTATCAGTTGGACTGCATTTTGCAATTTGGAACTGTAAATTCTGGCCCGGTTTAAAAACAACATTTGTCATTAGTTTCCCTATGCACATAAGTGTTTTTTCAGATGAGCCAGAATTTATATAGTTCCATATTGCAAAACGCAGTCCAGTTGCAGTAAAGTAATCAATCGGAATAGTTTGGAAGTAAGTCGTATTTTTTTTTACGATTTATTGGCGATGACATCGCTAGGATCATCAAAATCTGAGCAATTATCCTCAATCTTGTCGCAATTTTATTTCTAGAAAATCGTGTTCGATAAAATTGAAATTTTATTTCAATTTGTCACGATCTTTTTGAGCGAAAAAATCGCCAAAAAATGAATTCGCGGTTTGATTGAAAATTTTCGGGGTAAAATCGCAATTTGTCGCAATTTTTTATCCGATCATTTTCTGAAGTAGGACTGGGCTTTAAACCTTAACCCTACCCCTTCGTAATACTTTGTAAGGTCGGCCATTAAGCTACATGATATGCAATTCGTTTGTAAAACTTTTCGAAGTTTGATAAACTCGTTCGGTACTCTGTTCAACATGTAGCGTCAGGATAGAATGATGATGGTTGCTGTCCATCTAAAAGAATCAAGTTTTAAGAGGTAACAATGATTAATTTTTTCTTCCCTCCCTGTCCACTCCCATTAAATTCAAACGTGAGAGTACGTATACAATATTTTGATTTAAGAAAGACGTTTCTCCAGACGAGCGATGCTTTGAAGTCATTCTGGTGGAACGACGATGAAATCTTACCTATCGTCATCCAGACCGTGAATCGAACAAGGGTCAGAACGGAGAGTTTGAAGATGAGGTATATGTTGACCGCCACTGCAATCCCAGGAACAAAAGGGACGCACGGAGTCATGAAGAGTAGCGCTTTCCTGTGAATCAAACATCAAACAGTTCCATGAGGCGTGTTGTAAAGCGCATTGATGGGACGATGATTGGAGGCAAAGCATAGATCGAATGGTATTCGACCGCACAATGCAAAATATGCAAATTTAGGAGGACGAGGCGGTGCTTTAGTCGCCGCCGTGGTGAGATTGGACGAGGGGGATAGGTTACTTGAGTAACCGAATCAGGAATACCTCATAGCCTTGTAATCTCAGAGCTGCGAAGCTCCTTCATTTTGACCGCCTGGCAATTTTGCGGACACCGGTGCTGTAATAGTTGTATCAAATTACCGTACTAATAGAACAAGTCAATGTCTCTTTTCAGAGGGCATTGCGTTAAATTTTGCGCTGATGGAGGGACCCTAGTAAAATGTATAATTTGGTTAGGGGAAAAAGTAAGGCCATATGGAAAAGTGACATTAACAACTGAATTTTGTGTTAAACCAACCGAAACCTTTAAATCATTCCATGGCATCTCAGGACTGCGTAGCTGTCCTCCTGACCTAGTACTATCAAGTTTTTCTCGATTCTGTATTCCGGTCACACATTGCAAGCAGATAGTGCATTGGATTAAAATCAAATCTACAACAAGATCCGGGTTCGAGCTTAGGACCGCCCGTGTCTATTTTAAACGGGGTTGGAGCTTTGAACCACAAAATTCAGTTAATTAAACCAAAAGATTTGGTCGATTCAACCGCAAGAAAAACTTAACCGACAGGATGTGCTTCTCTTTGTTCTACCCGCTATATTCATGCAAGATGTTGGTTAATTTTTCTCATTGTGCATCAAACACAAGAAAAAAAGCAACTC